CTTGCATTATGGTATATTTATTCAGTTTTAAGAAACAAACCGGCTTCATCCAAAACAGTTATTGCTGTTGAACGAATAGAATGGTTTGTATATCTTTGCGATAGTTCCCCTTGACGAGAAATAGTTGCCATCATATTTGCCAAAGTGTTTTTTCCAAGTGGAGCCTTACGAAACCAGGTTTAATTTCTTCCTCTGGTACGAAGCTGTCAAGTGGTCGTTGCCAAAGAGCATTAATATCTTTGTTCAATTTACTTTTATACTTCAGAAATGATTCTACAGGACAAGCAGGGTTTCCTAAAAATAGAATAAATCCAAACTTTACTATACATTCATTCATAAATCATAAGCATACAAATAAAATGCATCCATATGCTAGAGCATGCCTTGTAATTCGTACATTCTTCCTTGTGTCACAGTTCCTGTCGTGGTATCTCGATGGTTTTTGTCAAGTTCATCCGTCTTTTGGAAGATGTATCTCTTGCCTGTGCTGTCGGTTCATAGCTCAAACGTTTCTATAGTCATCGCTCTCAGATTTTCCTGCCCCCGTCGGCATAAAAAATACATCACTTCAAACCACACTATGTTCAAGAGGCCGTTTGGAGTATCCATGTAAAACACAACAGTGTCGCCGCTGTATAGTTTTGTCACATCAGCTCTTGTTATTGGGACGTGGTGTTTGACAGAACCAAGACCTTGTCGTCGTAAATCTTTTACAGCAGCTTTGAAGAGTTTCGTACTGTACGAAAATCGTTTTTCATTCACAATATCATAGCCCAAACTGTCCAAATAATGCCGTCTCAGGCCTTGTCGGAAGGTTAAAAGAGCACTTGCTTTAAATTTTGTACCGTCTTTCTTTTTGGCGTTAGCAAAAAACTTCGCCAAACTTTTGTCGTGCATATATTCTTTTATCTGTGAGTCCTTCTACATCCCCTACTGCGTCTAAAAATGTTTTTAGAGCATTTTTTGTTGCCTTTATTGTATTTTTCGCGCGTCTGCCGTCTAATATACGTGCAATGTCTTCGTCTTCTGACTCGATATTCGACAGGTTGTCTTCACTCTCGGCCATTTTGAAAGTGGGCATGAAATTTTCCCCCCATTTTTACCCATTGAGTCATGCGTGTTGTCTCGCGTGGTCTACGCGAATAATGTTCCACCCCATGGTCCCCGGGGAACATTTGTCAAAAGGAACGCGGGCTCGAAAATTGATGACGTAAGGCGTGATATCGCGACTAATTTCATGCTCACGTGTCACAAACTAAGCTTTCTGATTGGACAATTTGAAGTTGAGGTATAATATATTCGTATATTCGAATTCACAGACCGTAAAAACAAACAATTTCAAAAGAACATTATAATGCAGAACACGAATATATGAATATGCCCCCACTTATCGAGCTGGCTACGCCACTGGCTATAGATATAGAACATTTTCGTAAGTCATGTTTAGTTATTATGTTTTCGAAATTTGTGAAAAGTCTATTAAAACTTCATTTCGAGGACGAGGAATTGTTTTTTAAACCAATTTTCTCAGCCATTTCCTGAACTAATTATAAAGCTAAACAGAAACTATTTTCTAATGTCTGACGAAAAGGTTATATTCCATCATTGTGTTTATATTCTAAGTAAAAACCGAGAACAACAACTTCGTAATAAAACAATAACTGACACAGGAAGCCATTTTGAAAGCGTGTGCGCACAAGAAACACTGCAACACTAAGACAGTAACCGTGAACCAGGCGAAAACTGTTTTATTCTGCGGTGGGCAGCAGCGAAGTAGTTGTACTTCGCTACTGTATCGAACAACATGAGCTCCACCTTTGAATTTACTAAGAGTAAATCCTTAAACACGTCCGAATTTATCATTATGATAAATTCGCGGCAAATTTTGAATTTATCATAATAATAAATTCGCGGCACCTAACACTAACCTTAACCCTAACCCCAACCTAAACCACTAACCCCTAACCCCAAACTACTAACCAAGGAGGCAGGTCCCGCGGAGGTGGGGAGTTTTTCAAAAAAATAGTTTTTAGAAAGTTTTAGAAAGTTTTAAAAGAGTTTTGAAAAGCAAGAAAAGTTTAAAAAGTTAGATTTAAAAAAAAGTTAAATAAATTTTAAAAGTTAAAAAAGTTAGGGTTAGGCCCTAACCCTAACTTTTTTAACTTTTAAAATTTATTTAACTTTTTTTTTTTTAAATCTAACTTTTTAAACTTTTCTTGCTTTTCAAAACTCTTTTAAAACTTTCTAAAACTTTCTGAAAACTATTTTTTCGAAAAACTCCCCACCTCCGCGGGACCTGCCTCCTTTTTAGTGCCATTACATTTATAGCAAGAAACCTTGTGTAATGCTTGTGGTTTCATGATTAACTCTATTGATAAATTCAAAATGTGCCGCGAATTTATCATAATGATAAATTCGGACGTGTTTAAGAATTTATTCATATAGTAAATTCAAAGGTGGAGCTCATGTTGGTATCGAACTACAGATTTCAAGTAGCCAGTAGTTTTTGACGGCTTTTTTAAAACAGTAGCTTTAGTTATAGCGAACTACATTTTGCCTAAAAGTAGCCAAATAGTTGACTACTTTTCAAACAGCAAATTGCTATTCGCTACTTTTTAAATTGTTGGCAACTTGATATGATAGAAAAATGTTAAGACACGGTTTGCTTAAATATGCCATGCAACTGTGCTAGTGCCATCTTATTTACTCATAAGTCGATTTGTTATAGATTATATTATAGTCTGAGCTATTAGATGCTCCGGAAACAGGAAAACTAAAATATATTGCGTAGCGAAATAGCGAAATAGTTCGCTACATTTTTTAATATGTATATATTGTTTAAATGGTGTGGTTTCTCGTGCAATGTAAAAACATAGACTCGTGAGTTTTTGAAAACTTCAAATTGCAATTTCGGAGTCGAGCGTGCTCAATTTTGATCGTTCGTCTTTGAAATTAAGACCCACTTGTTCCTTGCTATTGTCTACACCAATAATCCTGCAGGAAAAGTTAAAACAATGCATTTCTAAATGAACATCGATAATGCAATCTATGGCTATAGCTCGACACTGCAACTATATTGTTTTATTGTTAGAGCAAGAGCCAGGAACTTCATTATGTATAGCGCCGATAAGAACCATCAGTAGTAATAATCGCAGATTATTACTACTGACTAGCAGTAGCATCCTAACTCCAGTAAATAGTGCCTATGGTTGTTGAAAGCACATTTGAACTTGAATGTTCGCGCATATATATAGCAGCAGTCATGACCGACTTCTACAAAAGGAAGCCATCGTGCTATTTTGCTGTATTGTATTTGCGTGTCCAGTATCAATGTTCTAAAACACGTGAAATAGCGTTCTAATGAATCTAGAAATTCAAAATTTTCCTCGCGCCTTTGGCGCTCGCTTTCGAAATCCATCAAAATCCCCCCCCCCCCCCCCTCCTCGCAAGTTTAGACCATTGCAGAAGTTCTGAAAAACTGAACGTTTACTTGACGCCTGACTTCTAAGGCGATGCCTAACTTCATACCGCAATAGTAACCGTAAAATCACAGAAGCTATAGATTCAGACAAATCGTCCTCGGTCATACTTAGTTATTCCAGTCAAATGCAGCCCACACAAACATCTGCTCGCAAGCATAACGATATAAACTCGATATAAATTTTCACAAAACGGACAATAATTATACTGCGATTTTTCGAGCAAGTATAAACCACGGCCTAAATAATGTTGCGAACGACTTGTATAAACGGTCAATTTGTTCCAAACCGTAGCTAAAATAGGTGAACGTTTGAAAGGTAGGTCTAAATAATCGAACCGACATTGAATTTCGACAATTACACTATTTAAGAAGAGGTTTATGTATAGGCCGCTACTAATTTTCGCCCAAAAATGGGTTTGTTGTACTACCAGTATCATTGTCTCGGTATTACACATTTCTTATGAATAATAAAAACAAGTTGTTGAGAACCAACCCAAGAGAAATTCAAGTTCAATCATATTTTCAATCATGCAGTGATAACCTGCAACTCCTGCAGTTATAGTGGTTATATATATGAAATGATGTAAGACCAAACTACGCTGTAACTTGCCAACGTTTGATGTACTGTAGGATTGAACACGCGGAACTGATCGACTTGAACTTATTTTCTTACCTTAGTCTGAAAATCCAATTCTGAAATATTCTAGGAAAAATAGAAGCTGTACTGCAAATATTATAAGGAAATTCATATTTCAAGTATTAATTTCAGCTATATTGCAAATATTATAGGAAATTTTATTATTCATTGAGTCCCTCACGAGCAGATGGCCAGTGACAATCAGTGTAAGGGGCCGATTACATGGAGCATTTTCAACCCCGGGGTTGAACTCAGCCCTGTTTACCGGGTTGAAATTTCAGCCTTGTCTGTAATACAAAACTCTATCAAAATCAAACGTGCTATTACATGACAAAATTTTCAACCCAGGGCCAAGTTCAACCCCGTGGTTGAAAATGCTCCATGTAATCGGCCCCTATAAGAGCAATAAAAAATTAATTAAGACAGGCTGAAAAACGTTCGTTTTGTTATAATAATTATATACATGTTGTACAATAAACAATTAATGCTGCTCTCTCTATATTGGCTTTCAAAATACGTCAATAAATGATATTTAAAATAATATAAATAGTTGTGATTTTTAAATCTTCTAAAGATTGTAATTAAGATTGAGAAGGTGACATCTTCCCTAGCGTGCATGCATTTGGTTTAAATACATTACAACAAAAATCCTACAAAGAGATGTTTTTTTTTATTATTCTGCCGCTATATATATATATATATATATATATATATATATATATATATATATATATATATATATATATATATATATATATATATATATATATAATTATTCACGGCACATTTTAACAAACGTTTGCATATTTCCTACTATAAATAAACTATATTCATAATATATTTCTTTTTCAACCAACCGCCGTCAAAATAATCCATTTTTCATCGGTCATGCACGGGACGAAAAATCTACTTCGCATATGTGCAAATGTATGTGCAAATTTGATGCGAAGTCCAATATCGCACACCTTTGACCAAATTTGCACGTATGCAAATTGATAAATTTGCTTCAACTTTGCACCCGGTGCTGGATAGCAGATGCCGTCAAGGCACATGGTGCAAATTTGATGCAAATTTAGTGTGTTTTTATAAATTCGCACATACTCCAAATTCAATTTGAAGTTGTTGAGAAGGTAGAAATCGCTAGTTAAATTGCATATGGTGCAAATATGAAGTCATTATTAATATTTGCTGTAATTGCGAATTTAGTGCCAAGTTCTTGCAAATACGAAAATCCCACAATAATTCGCAGCCTATTGAAAATTTGCTGCTATTTTGCTATACGATATGCTCATGTATTGGCTGCTTCCTGGACCACTTTAGTACTAATTAATATAAGATACAGTACAATGGGGACTCCAAAAAAATTTATGATTTTAGGTTTCGACTAATCTGTATGGCCGTCAATGAAACGGACAATTATAATAAAAATAAATAAAATTCGGAGCCTCCATTGTACTTCATTTGATCAAAAATAGACAAGGTGCAGTTGTTTTATATTATTTATATTTATTGAATATAGTTACAATGGAATCTTCATTCAATCCATAAGTCAATATTGTCATCAATGCATTATAATAAACATTAAAATATCGTTGCAATTGTGGCCTTTGTGGCCCTAACTTAAGGCCCTATCACACTATTTCGTATCGTACTAGCATATGCCAGCGTATGAAAAATATCACTTATACGCCAGTATACGCTGACATACGCTAGGGGTACGTTAGGCATAGGTTGTATACGTTTCAAGCACGGTGGCATACGCTGGCATACGGCGAGGCA